AGTCAAGGAGCTGGAACATGCGCTGGACGCACGCAAGGAGCAAGTCAAACTCCCCGGCAGTCTCTCTCTCTTGCTCTATGTTTTCCATACCCATGAACCCAGCCAGGTCAGCAGAGTCCAGACGGGTGGCTCTACATGCAGCATCCCCCACTATCCTCTTCACAGTGTTTTCAGCAGCCAGAGCGGGCTGAAAGCTATCTACAGTTCCCAGGGCCCCCAGCCAACAAGACGGAAAATGATTTAACAAACTGTAGTCATTTCCTAACAGCATTCTTTGATCACAGGTTACTCAATGATTAATTATTCAGCCAAAAGCGTCTGTAAAGAAGAGGATCTTGCTTTCGGAATATCAGAGGAGCGAATGACATCTCACCAGCTCCGTTCTAATTTCATTAGAAGAAGGCGCATTCCCCACTGTTCAAATACATTTGAAACATTCCATTTAAAGTGACGGACAGAGAGAAAGTCTCTCTACTGCGACAGCAGCTTCCTGGAACCTCTGAGCACTTAACGTTCATGCTTCTGCTCTGTGCCCATTCCACAGCTAGCCACGTTCTGACTCAGAGCGTGCGGCCAGAACGGACCTTAGTCTGACCTCCTGTGGAGCACAGGCCCTTGCATGTCCCCCAGCCAGCCCTGCTCTGAGCCCAGTAACTTGGGTTTGGCTAAAACATCTTCCAGAAAGGCTCCAGTCTGGGTCTGAAGTCACAGACAGTTGGAGAATCCACCACTTCCCAGGGGAGTTTGTTCCAATGGCTAATCACCCTCACTGTGCCGGATTACTCATTTCCATTGGTCTGGCTTCAGCTTCCAGCCCTTGGTTCTAGTTCTGCCTTTCTCCGCCAGATCAAAGAGCCCTTCAGTAGCAGGTGTTTTCTCCCCGGAAGATCCTTACGCACTGACGCACTGATCGTGTCCCAAAGTCAGCCAGCACATTCATCCTCCAGTGAATGAAACAGGAAACTCAGGCCGGTTCTCATTTACATTTGACGAGGCTGTGCTTTGCCCCTCTCCCCTCGAGCCGCGTATTCACCCATCAGCCGGAGGCACCAGAAGGGGCCCGATTCCTAGGAAGCGCTGAGCGCCCATTCTCTGACAGTCAACCGCGCTTGTCGACGTTGTGGAAGAGCACAAAAGGCCATGGGGCACCCTTAACGCTGCATTAACTCACACTTCTGAAACCCAGGAAGTACAGAGTTACAGAACATGCCAGGGCACTGACTCTGCCCCGGGAGCAGGCAGCATTCACTGCGAATAAACTGCATGCTCTCCAGCTGCATGCCCTGGGCTGGGTAGCTGTACTGACCGGTGGAGGAATTAGTTGAACCAGCTTGTCAGAGCTGTGATTGCATTATGAGGAGCACTTGGCATCTTGACAGAGCACAAGTCTCCTGAGGCCATTGCAGAAAAGCTAAATGAATTCTTTACATCTGTATTTGCTGCAGAGGATGAGAGGGAGATTCCCACACCTGAGCCTTTCACTTTAGGAGACAAGTCTGAAAAACTGTCCCAGATTGAGGTGTCAATAGAGGAGGTTTCGGAACAAAATGACAAATTAAACAGCAACAAGTAGGACGAGATGGTATTCACCCAAGAGTTCTAAAGGAACTCAAATATAAAATTGAAGAACTACTAACTGGTATGTAACCCATCGCTTAAATCGGCCTCTGTGCCAGATGACTGGAGGGTAACTAATATGACTGCTTTTTAAAAAAGACTCCAATTAGAGGCCGGTAAGCCTAACTTCAGTACCAGGCAAACTGGTTGAAACTACAGTAAAGAACAGAATTATCAGACACATAGATAAACACAATATGTTGTGAAAGAGTCAACATGGCTTTTGTAAAGGGAAATCGTGCTCACCAATCTATTAGAATTCTCTGAGGGGGTCAACAAACGTGAACAAGGATGATCCAGTGGATATAGGATACCTGGACTTTCAGAAAGCCTTTGACAAGGTCCCTCGACAAAGGCTCTTAAGCAATGTAAGCAGTCATGGGACAAGAAGTCTCATGGATCAGTAACTGGTTAAAAGATAGGAAACAACGGGTAGGAATAAATGGTTAATTTTCACAATGGAGAGAGGTAAATAGTGGGGTCCCTCAAGGATCTGTGCTGGGACCAGTGCTGTTCACCATATTCATAAATGATCTGGAAAAGGGGGTGAACAGTAAAGCTGTAAAGTTTGAAGATACTAAATTCCTTTAGACTTACCTATCCTAAATAGACTATGAGGAGTTACAAAGGGATCTCATAAAACGGAGTGACTGGGCAACAAAACGGCAGATGAAATTCAACATTGATAAATGCAAAGTAATGCAAGTTGGAAAAAAATAATCCCAATTACACATATCAAATGACGGGATCTAAATTAGCTATTACCACTCAAGAAAGAGATCTTGGAGTCATTGTGGATAGTTCTCTGAAAACATCCACGCAATGGGCAGCGGCAGTCAAAAAAGGGAACAGAAATTTAAGAACCATCAGGAATGGGATAGACAATAAGACAGAAAATATCATAATGCCACGATAGAAACCCATGACATTTCCACACCTTGAATACTGCATGTAGTTCTTGTTGCCCCCTCTCATAAAACATATATTAAAACTGGTAAAGATACAGAGAAGGGCAACACAAACGATGAGGGGACGTGGAACAGCTTCCCTGGGAGGAGAGATTAAAAAGACTGGGACTGATCATCTTATAAAAGGGACGACTACGGGGGATGTGACTGAGGTCAAAAAAACATGACTGCTGTAGAGAAAGCGAATAGGAAAATGTTACTTACCCCCTCTAACAACACAAGAACCAGGGGCCACCCAATGAAATTAACAGGCAGCTGGTTTAAAACAAAGAAAAAGAAGTATTTCTGCACACAGTACATGGTCAGTCTGTGAAACTCGTTGCCAGGGGATGTTGTGAAGGCCAAAACTATCAGTGGGTTAATAAAACAATTAGCTAAGTTCATGGAGGACAGGGCCATCAATGGCTATTAGTCAAGATGGTCAGGGACAGAACCCCAAGCAGCAGGGCACAGGGGTCTTCTTGCCATGGGGTCTTCGTGCCCCCGTCGCAGTGATTTTCAGGGGGCCACACTCTGCTGTGGGTCCAGGCCGCCACCGGAGGCTGGAGGGGCCAAGCTGCCGGAGACCTGGGCTAGGAGCAGCAGTGACGGAACATGAGGGGGAGACCCGAGTCCCCATCCACATGTGTGCATTCCTATGTCGAGTCCTCCTAGCTTGCCTCTTCCGTGTCCTGCTGTAGGCACGGCACCCTCCTTAGGCAGGCCAGAGCCGGCCCCAGCGCTGCCGGTCAAAGCTCCAACGAACCCAAACGATGGGAGAGCAGGGAGCAGCCCCCCAGCGGAGGAATCAGACAGGTCTCAGAAGAGATGAGTCCTCTCTCAGGGGCTTCCGGTCAGCGTGAGGCCTGTGCGTCCAGGCACGGGAAGCAGAGCCCAGGTGCTGGGGCATGTGAGATGGCAGGAAGAGGAACGGTTGCACGGCTGGGGATGTGTCCCCCGCAGCCAGGCCTCACTGGCACTGTATCAGGCAGAAAGGAGCCTGCCCAGTGGCTAGGCCTGCTCAGAGAGAGTCCGGCCTACATGCTGGGGCGATCCCATGTGCTGCGGGGAGCACATTTGAGCGTGGACACAAGGTGCGTCGCCAGCAGACAGGGCCCAGCAACCACAGCGTGAGGAAGCCTCAGGCTAGGCAGCCAGGCAGTTCTAGCAGCCCCAGGAGTCCTTCCGATCACTGCAGGAGAGGGCCAGGCATTAGAAGCAATCCAGAAGGGGCCTGAAACTGGCAGAGAGGTTCCCCAGTTGCCAGCATTTCAATAAGGGGAACAGCCCCTCACAGGCCACCCAAAGAAACTAAAAGACAACATATTTAAAACTCAAATCAAATGTTTTCTGTGGCACAGAATTAACTTGTGGGACTCACTGCCACATGAGACCAGAGCGCTAAAAGATTTAAAAGGGGGATTCAACATTTATAAGGATAACATAAAACTCCAGAGTTACATGAATAAAAAGCCAAGGGATAGTAGCCCTCCTGCTCTGCCTGACCCACCCACTCCCTGGCTGGGACTCGGGAGAAGACTTCTCTATAGACAAGGTCTCTCCATAGTCGCTCGTGATTGGGTGTGCAGCACCATCCCCTCGTGCAGCTGGCACCTGTCCCTTTCGGACAGCCCCTCTGACAAAGAACCTGGGACTAAGCCCTGGGGTGGGAGAGTGGCAGGGCACTGGCTCCTGGGGATCAGCCAAGAGGGGTGCACAGTCCCATGGAACGGAACTGCGGGTACCAGCCCTCGGGTGCCCGGGCAGGGCTGACCCAGGCCACCCCAGCGCCCTGCGCTCAGCACCGCCACCCCGCCTCAGTGCCCAGTGCCACCCCAGCACCTGGTGCCGCCACCCCACCTCAGTGCCCAGTGCCACCCCAGCGCCCTGCACTCAGCACCGCCACCCCGCCTCAGTGCCCAGTGCCACCCCAGCGCCCGGCACCGCCATCCCGCCTCAGTGCCCAGTGCCACCCCAGCACCCGGCACCGCCATCCCGCCTCAGTGCCCAGTGCCACCTCAGCGCCCTGTGCTCAGCACCGCCACCCCGCCTCAGTGCCCAGTGCCACCCCAGCGCCCTGCGCTCAGCACCGCCACCCCGCCTCAGTGCCCAGTGCCACCCCAGCGCCCTGGCTCAGCACCGCCACCCCGCCTCAGTGCCCAGTGCCACCCCAGCGCCCTGCGCTCAGCACCGCCACCCCGCCTCAGTGCCCAGTGCCACCCCAGCGCCCGGCGCCGCCATCCCGTCTCAGTGCCCAGTGCCACCCCAGCGCCCGGCGCTCAGCACCGCCACCCCGCCTCAGTGCCCAGTGCCACCCCAGCGCCCCCCGCCCGGCACAGACGTCACACCCCAGCGCCCGGTGCCGCCCCATCCCCCCCGCCCCGGCGCCCCGCGCCCCGCAGAGCCTCAGTCCCGCCCCCCCGCCCCCCGCGCTACCTGGCAGCGGAAGGGGAGGCCGGGCAGCAGCGGGCGGAGCAGGCCGCGGGCGATCTGGCGGCTGCGCGGCTCGCTCACGAAGTGCAGGTGCAGCGCCTGGCCCGGCGGGAGGCGCGCGCGGCGCAGCAGGGAGCGCAGCGCAGCCTGGGCGCGGGCCTGCAGCGCCGAGCCGCGCGCCGCCTTGGTGAACATCAGCAGCAGGTGGAGGCGGGCGGGGGCCGGGGCCGGGGCCGGGTCCCGGCGCGGGCCCGGGGGGGCGCCGGAGAAGGGCCCGCGCCCCGCGCCCAGGCCGAAGAAGGCGCAGACGCCCAGCGCGGCGCCCAGCAGCAGCAGCAGCAGCGCGCAGGGCGGGGGCCGCGGGGCGCGGGGCGGGGGGCGCAGGGCGCCCAGCCGGGCCATGGCGGCGCGCACGGGCCGGGCCGGGCCGGGCCGGGCGCTCCGGAGGCCGCCGGGCTGCGCGGGGAGCGGCCCCGCCTCCGAGCCACGTGGGGCCGGGCGGAGCTCGGTGGGTCGCGGCCCGCGGGGCGGGAGAGCCCGGCCGGAGCTCGCCGGACACGGGGCAGGGCGCGGCGCGAGCCCGGGGCCCCGGCGGGCTCTGCCCGGTCGCGCACCGGGACCGGGACCGGGACCGGAGTGGGGGGGCAACAGGAGCCTCTAGGGAAAAAGCCCCAGACTCGGGGCTGCCCCTCGGAGAGCAGCCGCCCCCGCCCGGCTCCGCCCCGGCTGCAGGAACCGACCTGCCCCCGGTGCCGCGCCGGGCACCAGCCCCTCGCCCCAGGGCGGGGGTCGGAAACGTCCCGTCCTCCGTCAGCCAGCCCCGGGCTGCAGCGCCCGGCCCCGGGCCCCGGGGGGGCTAAACGACAGCGCGAGGAACCCGGCAGCCTCCGGTTCTGCCGAGCCTGATGCTCCCTCGCACGCAGCCGGGGCTGGACAGCGCAGGGCTGCGAGGGGAGCTCGCTGCGAGGGAAGGGCCCGCAGCCCCGCGGAATCAGGCGAAGGGTGAACGCACCTGGCCCCCTGGGCGGGCGAGGGCTGGGAGAGGCAAGACGGGAAACGCTGCCTGCCCTGCTGAGCCCCCGGCGCCAGGCTCCTGCCCCAGCCAGGCCCAGCCTTGCCCCGTCCTAGTGTCCATCCGCGGCCCGCCCCGCTTCCCCCTACAAACGGATTTTAAAAAACGCGAATGTTTAACTAAATTAACTTGTTCTGTTAAAATAGCGTTTGCTCTTGAAGAAAAAAAATCCAGAATACATAATGTTGCTGTAGTTAAAAAAAAAACAATTGAAATGTTTGTCTGGTGAGGTTCTCCTCCTAATACAGCCTGGAAAGAAAATCCTCCAAATATTAATGATTAACCTGTTGAAGTGGAGATAGTTCACCTCCCCGTGACTTCATAAATATCTGCTTCAAATACCTTTGGTAAATGAACTAACCCAACAATCATACGTTTTGTGATATAGCTGTAAAACTCATCTGAAAAGTTTTCAGAAGAAATCACTTTAAAATTGTAAAAAGAGGTTTCAGAGGAACAGCCGTGTTCGTCTGTATTCGCAAAAAGAAAAGGAGTACTTGTGGCACCTTAGAGACTAACCAATTTATTTGAGCATGAGCTTTCGTGAGCTACAGCTCACTTCATCAGATGCATACCGTGGAAACGGCAGCAGACTTTATATACACACAGAGAATATGAAACAATACCTCCTCCCACCCCACTGTCCTGCTGGTAATAGCTTATCTAAAGTGATCAACAGGTGGGCCATTTCCAGCACAAATCCAGGTTTTCTCACCCTCCACCCCCCCACACAAATTCACTCTCCTGCTGGTGCTAGCCCATCCAAAGTGACAACTCTTTACATAATCAAGTCAGGCTATTTCCTGCATAGATCCAGGTTTTCTCACATCCCCCCCACCCCCATACACACACAAACTCACTCTCCTGCTGGTAACAGCTCATCTAAACTGACCACTCTCCAAGTTTAAATCCAAGTTAAACCAGAACATCTGGGGGGGGGGGGGTAGGAAAAAACAAGAGGAAACAGGCTACCTTGCATAATGACTTAGCCACTCCCAGTCTCTATTTAAGCCTAAATTAATAATATCCAATTTGCAAATGAATTCCAATTCAGCAGTTTCTCGCTGGAGTCTGGATTTGAAGTTTTTTTGTTTTAAGATAGCGACCTTCATGTCTGTGATTGCGTGACCAGAGAGATTGAAGTGTTCTCCGACTGGTTTATGAATGTTATAATTCTTGACATCTGATTTGTGTCCATTTATTCTTTTACGTAGAGACTGTCCAGTTTGACCAATGTACATGGCAGAGGGGCATTGCTGGCACATGATGGCATATATCACATTGGTGGATGTGCAGGTGAACGAGCCTCTGATAGTGTGGCTGATGTTATTAGGCCCTGTGATGGTGTCCCCTGAATAGATATGTGGGCACAATTGGCAACGGGCTTTGTTGCAAGGATAAGTTCCTGGGTTAGTGGTTCTGTTGTGTGGTATGTGGTTGTTGGTGAGTATTTGCTTCAGGTTGCGGGGCTGTCTGTAGGCAAGGACTGGCCTGTCTCCCAAGACTTGTGAGAGTGTTGGGTCATCCTTTAGGATAGGTTGTAGATCCTTAATAATGCGTTGGAGGGGTTTTAGTTGGGGGCTGAAGGTGACCGCTAGTGGCGTTCTGTTATTTTCTTTGTTAGGCCTGTCCTGTAGTAGGTAACTTCTGGGAACTCTTCTGGCTCTATCAATCTGTTTCTTTACTTCTGCAGGTGGGTATTGTAGTTGTAAGAAAGCTTGACAGAGATCTTGTAGGTGTTTGTCTCTGTCTGAGGGGTTGGAGCAAATGCGGTTGTATCGCAGAGCTTGGCTGTAGACGATGGATCGTGTGGTGTGGTCAGGGTGAAAGCTGGAGGCATGCAGGTAGGAATAGCGGTCAGTAGGTTTCCGGTATAGGGTGGTGTTTATGTGGCCATTGTTTATTAGCACTGTAGTGTCCAGGAAGTGGATCTCTTGTGTGGACTGGACCAGGCTGAGGTTGGTGGTGGGATGGAAATTGTTGAAATCATGGTGGAATTCCTCAAGGGCTTCTTTTCCATGGGTCCAGATGATGAAGATGTCATCAATATAGCGCAAGTAGAGTAGGGGCTTTAGGGGACGAGAGCTGAGGAAGCGTTGTTCTAAATCAGCCATAAAAATGTTGGCATACTGTGGGGCCATGCGGGTACCCATAGCAGTGCCGCTGATCTGAAGGTATACATTGTCCCCAAATGTGAAATAGTTATGGGTAAGGACAAAGTCACAAAGTTCAGCCACCAGGTTAGCCGTGACATTATCGGGGATAGTGTTCTTGACGGCTTGTAGTCCATCCTTTGTGTGGAATGTTGGTGTAGAGGGCTTCTACATCCATAGTAGCCAGGATGGTGTTATCAGGAAGATCACCGATGGATTGAAGTTTCCTCAGGAAGTCAGTGGTGTCTCGAAGGTAGCTGGGAGTGCTGGTAGCGTAGGGCCTGAGGAGGGAGTCTACATAGCCAGACAATCCTGCTGTCAGGGTGCCAATGCCTGAGATGATGGGGCGCCCAGGATTTCCAGGTTTATGGATCTTGGGTAGTAGATAGAATATCCCAGGTCGGGGTTCCAGGGGTGTGTCTGTGCGGATTTGATCTTGTGCTTTTTCAGGAAGTTTCTTGAGCAAATGCTGTAGTTGCTTTTGGTAACTCTCAGTGGGATCATAGGGTAATGGCTTGTAGAAACTCATGTTGGAGAGCTGCCGAGCAGCCTCTTGTTCATATTCCGACCTATTCATGATGACAACAGCACCTCCTTTGTCAGCCTTTTTGATTATGATGTCAGAGTTGTTTCTGAGGCTGTGGATGGCATTGCTTTCCGCATGGCTGAGGTTATGGGGCAAGTGATGCTGCTTTTCCACAATTTCAGCCCGTGCACGTCGGCGGAAGCACTCTATGGAGAAGTCCAGTCTGCTGTTTCGACCTTCAGGAGGAGTCCATCTAGAATCCCTCTTTCTGTAGTGTTGGCAGGGAGACCTCTGTGGATTAGTATGTTGTTCAGAGGTATTTTGGATAGATTTCCACTCCATACGGCTAAATGCAGTGCCTTGCATAATGACAGGTTTCAGAGGAACAGCCGTGTTAGTCTGTATTCGCAAAAAGAAAAGGAGTACTTGTGGCACCTTAGAGACTAACCAATTTATTTGAGCATGAGCTTTCGTGAGCTACAGCTCACTTCATCAGATGTATACCGTGGAAACTGCAGCAGACTTTATATATACACACAGAGAATATGAAACAATACCTCCGAACCTCTTTAGCCCTTGCTAGAGAAAACTTACAGGATGCTCAAAAAGAGCAAAAAGCCTGGTATGATAAACATGCCAGAGAGCGTTCCTTCAAAGTAGGAGACCAGGTCATGGTCTTAAAGGCGCTCCAGGCCCATAAAATGGAAGCATCGTGGGAAGGGCCATTCACGGTCCAGGAGCGCCTGGGAGCTGTTAATTATCTCATAGCATTCCCCACCCCCAACCGAAAGCCTAAGGTGTACCATATTAATTCTCTAAAGCCCTTTTATTCCAGAGAATTAAAGGTTTGTCAGTTTACAGCCCAGGGAGGAGACGACGGGGGGAGGGATAGCTCAGTGGTTTGAGCATTGGCCTGCTAAACCCAGGGTTGTGAGTTCAATCCTTGAGGGGGCCATTTAGGGATCTGGGGCAAAAATTGGGGATTGGTCCTGCTTTAAGCAGGGGGTTGGACTAGATGACCTCCTGAGGTCCCTTCCAACCCTGATATTCTATGATTCTATGATTCTATGACGCTGAGTGGCCTGAAGGTGTCTACTACGAAGGGAAATGTGGTGGTGGTGTGGAAGAGGTGAACCTCTCCATGACCCTTGGGCATAGGCAGCGACAGCAGATCCAGGAGCTGTGCACTAGCTATGCGCCAACGTTCTCAGCCACCCCAGGACTGACTGAGCGGGCATACCACTCCATTGACACAGGTAATGCTCACCCAATTAGGGTCCAACCTTACCGGGTGTCTCCTCAAGCTAAAACTGCTATAGAACGGGAGATCCAGGATATGTTACAGATGGGTGTAATCCGCCCCTCTGAAAGTGCATGGGCATCTCCAGTGGTTCTAGTTCCCAAACCAGATGGGGAAATACGTTTTTGCGTGGACTACCGTAAGCTAAATGCTGTAACTCGCCCAGACAACTATCCAATGCCACGCACAGATGAACTGTTAGAGAAACTGGGACGGGCCCAGTTCATCTCTACCTTGGACTTAACCAAGGGGTACTGGCAGGTACCGCTAGATGAATCTGCCAAGGAAAGGTCAGCCTTCATCACACATCTCGGGCTGTATGAATTTAATGTACTCCCTTTCGGGCTGCGAAATGCACCCGCCACTTTCCAAAGACTTGTAGATGGTCTCCTAGCGGGATTAGGAGAATATGCAGTCGCCTACCTTGACGATGTGGCCATATTTTCGGATTCCTGGGCAGACCACCTGGAACATCTACAAAAAGTCCTTGAGCGCATAAGGGAGGCAGGACTAACTGTTAAGGCTAAGAAGTGTCAAATAGGCCTAAACAGAGTGACTTACCTTGGACACCAGGTGGGTCAAGGAACTATCAGCCCCCTACAGGCCAAAGTGGATGCTATCCAAAAGTGGCCTGTCCCAAAGTCAAAGAAACAGGTTCAATCCTTCTTAGGCTTGGCTGGTTATTACAGACGATTTGTACCGCACTACAGCCAAATCGCTGCCCCACTGACAGACCTAACCAAAAAGAAACAGCCAAATGCTGTTCAGTGGACCGGAAAGTGTCAGAAGGCCTTTAACAAGCTTAAAGCGACACTCATATCTGACCCTGTACTAAGGGCCCCAGACTTTGACAAACCATTCCTAGTAACCACAGATGCATCTGAGCGTGGTGTGGGAGCAGTTTTAATGCAGAAAGGACCTGATCAAGAATTCCACCCTGTAGTGTTTCTCAGCAAAAAACTGTCTGAGAGGGAAAGCAACTGGTCAGTCACTGAAAAAGAATGTTACGTCATTGTCTACGCTCTGGAAAAGCTACGCCCATATGTTTGGGGACGGCGTTTCCACCTGCAAACCGACCATGTTGCACTGAAGTGGCTTCACACCGTCAAAGAAACTAACAAAAAACTTCTTCGGTGGAGTTTAGCTCTCCAAGATTTTGATTTCGACATCCAACACATCTCAGGAGCTTCTAACAAAGTGGCTGATGCACTCTCCCGTGAAAGTTTCCCAGAATCAACTGGTTAAAATCGTCCTTGGGTACCTTCTGAAAATGAAACCTACATCTGAGTTGTGAAGAATATGCATTAAGGTTAAAACAACCAACAAGAATGTGCTTTTATGTAGAAATCCATAATTAAATAGTCTTCCTGACTAGTGATTTAAATCAGGATTTAAATCAAATCCACCCTACAGGAGCATATTCAGGGCCTCTCTGACCGTGGAGCATGCACACTGGTCAGCACTAGGAGCTGTGAGATACTCCAGCAGGCTCAGCAAGGGCACAATCTTCAGAGGTTTCTGCTATCAAAAGATCAAAGAAGTCTGCTGAGTACGTGACACCTGCCATTTTTCAGAGCCTTATAACTTGGCCCAATTTGGGCAGATTTTCATGGGGAAGACAAAAGGCACATCCCTCACACAAAGACCCCCTCCACTGTCAAATTTCAGCTCCCTAATCCAAAGCATCAGGGTGCGGGAGCATTTCAAAGAAAAGATCAATAATTTTGTAACATTGGCAAAACAATGTTTTCCTCTAGCTTTTTTTCTCAGAAACAACCCAACTGTATGGACTGAATTTAAAAAAAGAAATCATCCTGAGGCAGATACCTGCTGTGACATTATTGACATGAACTGTGACCGTATAGATCATTGGTGCAACCGAGGTCCTATAGTTGCCCCAAATCTTGTACAAAGGAGGTAGACTAAGGTAATTTGCTGGTTATGATTATGCTGTATGTATCATTTTTGTATTTGAAGTTATGAATATTGACTATGTACTTGTATCGCAATGTGTTTGATTCTAAGTAGCCTCAGTGAAGCATTTGGTCAGCTTCTTGAGAAAGGACTATTCTCAGTAAGTGCCCAATCAAGAAACACTTAACTGACAATGGACTTTGGGAGACGCCAATCCACACCTGAGCTTTCCTGGGAACGTTCAAACTAACATGTAAATAATGGCATTGGCCTGCAAAAAGCTGAATCATTCATGGACATGACTTGCCCAGGTGGCTACAAACTCCATCTTGTTGCAGTTATTTTCCACAGATGAACAAAGGGGTTTCCGCCCACAAGAGAGAATATAAGGCCCTGGAAGCCTCTGCATTTTGTCTTCAGCTGGTTCAAGAGATGGCCTCTCCACACCCCAAAGAGATGCCTGAAAGAAACTGGAACAAAGGTCTGTAACTACGGGAGTAAGAGATTCCTGGACCCAGGCCATAAGCGACGTTGGACTGAAAAGGACTGGGCCCAGACTAGGAAGGAGTGTAGTCTGTGAAAGAAGCTTACTGAAACATCTGAGGGTGAGATTTACCTGTATTCAGTTTCCTACTGTATTAGGCTTAGACTTGCGTGTTTTGTTTTACTTTGCTTGGTAACTTACTTTGTTCTGTTATTTCTTGAAACCACTTAAATCCTACTTTTTATACTTAATAAAATCACTTTTATTTATTAATTCACCCAGAATAAGTAATTAATACCTGGGGGAGCAAACAGCTGTGCATCTCTCTCTATCAGCATTATAGAGGGCGGACAATTTATGAGTTTACCTTGTATAAGCTTTATACAGAGTAAAACAGATTTATTTGGGGGTTGGATCCCATTGGGAGCTGGGTGTCTGGGTGCTAGAGACAGCAGCAGTTGCTAAGCTGTTTGCAGTTAAGCCTGCAGCTTTGGGACATGTGGTTCAGACCCTGGGTCTGTGTTGCATCAGGCTTGTGTGTCTGGCTCAACAAGACAGGGTTCTGGAGTCCCAAGCTGCCAGGGAAAACGGGCTCAGAGGTATTCTCAGCACATCAGGTGACAGTCCCAAGGGGGTCTCTGTGACCGAACGTGTCACACCTGACATGGAAAATTTCAGCCAAGTTACATTTTGGTAAAATTTTAAACAGAGAAGAGGGAATAATGGGAAGTGTTAGGCAACTTATAATGGGAAGTGTTAGGCAACTTGAATAATAGGCAGCGCTACCAGCCCCACCTATAGTGTGTCTGGGAGGATTCTTCCCAGTTTTGTTTCAGATTGGCTGCAACACTTGTTCCACCTCTGCATCAGTCTGGACTACTTCTTTCAAAATCCATCAGAAATAATCTGCTCTTTAAATTGAAACTTTAGAAAAACTGCAAACTGGGATGATTTGAGCAGTTAAGAATTTGAATTTTCCTTCTGCAAAATTCCAAAGCTCTGCAGGAGAGGCTCCTTCCCAACGCAGTGATTGGAAGCGTTACTCTGCCAAAGCACCTGCCATTGCTGAACTTTTACTCACAAATGCAGTATGCCAAGGGTAGGTGTAGCTCACAACCAAACTAGCAGTTGAAGGCTACTTGCTTTAAGCTGTATTAACTTTTAGTTCTAAGCATGTGGCAAAGCCTTGACAGCTGTACACATTTCACCAGGATTTTGCAGCATACAAAGTCTTTATTCAAGTATAGTATTTACAATTCTTACATAATGTACATAGAGTAACTATTAAGATAATGTATTTTTCTTCATTTACAATGAAACTACAATAAAACTACATTCAAGTTTCTGATACAAAGTCTATAGACTTATTAAATGCGAAGTAGGACTGGTTATACATTCTTTCCAATTATGCATTTAGGAAAACCAAAAAAAAAAAAAATCACAACAATTTACTACTGGACTGGTTCAAAACCACTGTCTAGTAAAGATGTACTTAGGGATAGGTACAGAAAGTCATTTATCACTCCAAACAGAATAACCATCCAGTTTGAGGAAACATGGTTTGATTCCTCAGTAATTACTATCATAACATGGGAAAAATTCTGATCTGAGGATAAAAATCAAGTGGGAATTTTCCTTCTTTACCATCTCCTTCCATGGGAAAAGAGAGAAGAAATACAGTACGCAGAAAGGTAAAGAAAGAATGGTGAAGGGGGAAAATGCAAATAAAAAAAGTACATTCATCTCCTCCTCCCATCGTGTCTGTACATAGTTGGCTGACTGTTTTAAAAAAGTGCCCATTTGTACAAACAGATACCTATACCGAGACACGTGTGTGTCAGGCAGAACTCTGTGCAAAGGAGCATCAACCATGGCATTGTATTAAACTGGGGAAAACATTCTTTACCTATCTGTAAGTGGATGGATAGTGGATATTTTCAGAATTGGCTTTTAAAATGCTTTCAGTATCTTAATCATCAGTTCTAATCCTTCTGATATACAAATACTCGTGCCTTGGACTCAAGGCATTTGTACATTTGGAATTCCATGAAATGGTCCTTTTATGTTCTCTGTGCCATTCAGAGATTATTAAAATGCATACTTCACATGCACGTTTGTTAAACAGGATTTCCCTGCTTCCCAGCAGCTGTCTACACACTGAAAACATTATAGCAAATGTTACACTTCTTCTAGTTCTCATGTATCCCTTGCACCAGTGCTTACATATAATTGCTATACATCAAACAACATGCTGTGGGTACAAGTCATGATTCAGAATGAGAGAAAGACACTCCATTTTACATGGAGAATTTACTGATAAATCAACAGCACTTGGAGGGGTCAGCCCTGTCTACATGTAAAGCAAGTGAAAATGAATCCCTACAAGTGAAAGATACAGACAGACAGTTATCTTCCAACATACCATGAACATTATAAATCGTTAAGAGCATAATCTGAGTTCAGTGAAGTCAATGGGAAGGCTCCCGCTGATTTCGATGAGGTTGAGATTAGGTCCCAATTGCGCAGGTGAGGAAACTAAATTCTACCCTGTATTAATGAACTGATGTGCATGTTCCAACTGCAACATGAGTGAAAGCAAAGCAAGACTTCTACCACCTACTGGATTCACTCAAACTTAAGGAAAAGGATAACAATTTCAATATGTCAAATAGTATAAAATTCAGCAGAGTACAGAAATACCTGAATATATAAGCATTGTACCCAAAGTAACAGAAAACAGGAAGCCTTAAAAACAAGTACAGATTGTAATGAAACATTATAGCCAAAATTTTAACCAGCAGGTAACCTACATAAATCATGTCCAAAAGTATGCTAAAATGTATTATGTGCTTTTCCATATTTACTCATTCCAAAAGTCTTTCTGCACATCTGGCCCTGGCTAGGATAAAGATAATAAAAGCCTAAAATAAATGATCAATTTATTTTAAACTGTGTTAAGAAAATACTGCTGCCTTCTCCACAAGTTAAGGCCAGTTGTATTCTACACATAGATGAAAATATGAACTGGAACTAAACTTTCCCAGTACTTGGCACATGGCTCAGCAGATACTAAAGCCCAACAGAGTCTTACTTCATGCATACTATTCAAGTTATATTCAGATTTACCTCACAGCAGGAGTGGGAATTTCCTAATACTACTAAGCAAAACAGCAACACATGAGTTACAGATTTGCCCATCAAGCACCGTTTCTAAAGCCAGGGGGGGTCAACTATACTTCGTCCTGCAAACTGAACACTTGATCTTGCTACACACCAGATAGCTTCACGGCATGTCCATTTTTGTCAGTGTGTCGATGATCACAACAATGCTCTTCTGGTGAACGCACATTACACTGCACATCTCAGCGCACATACCAGGCCAAGGAACTACCCCTCCTAGCCTGGGCTGCCAAAACGACTTCAAGTTTTTACAAACTCTAGGTCTTCTGTCAGAGCACTCGAATACAATCACGCACTGACAAACAATCCAAGCAGATTCTACAATTTAGCATAAACACAGTATCAAAAGCTGGGTCACTCACTCCCCTGACTGGCGAGAGCTGGGAAGGCAGCAGGGGCTCCACACAGCTACAGAGAAAGAGCTGTGCTTTATAGGGAACCCTTTTGCAAGTTTAAGCAGCAGCCCTGAGTGACTGGGAAGGAAATGTTGCAATGGTCACAAAGGTGGAGATATGGCATGGGGCATCTCAGAGGAGAGACTTCCAATATCTTTCAGCACTACGGAATAAAGACAGTGATTGTGCCCTGAAGCTTCAGGCAGCTTTTCTGTACAGTCACTCTCACTGTACACCAAGCATTATTTGTAACGTAAGAGGACAAGGCATCTAGACAAAACTGTGTATCTGAAATGAGTATTCTATAATGGGCGTATCTTACACAGCGTCCCAACTCTACGTGTGGAAGCTTCTACTCTCTAAGCTCTAACTTACTCAAGATAGAATGCTATTTAAGGAGACAAATCAGAGAGCACCCAATCGTTCTCCAGGAACCAATTCCTATTAAAAAAGCTTATGAAACTCATTTGTAAGCAGTAACCGCAAATGTATTACTCTCCAAAAATCAATGCAGTTAAAATGGGCACAATTTACTTTGCTTCAAGTAATTAGGCTACAAATAAAGCAATGATGAGACTGTAAAATTCACCCATTTACCACAATAACCTATTGGACACTTTCTATAGCATGAAGATCTTATTCTGGTATTAAAAATTTTTCATATATTTTATTTTTGATTAGCTATTGAATGCACAAGGATAAATATTTAAAAAACTCTCTGAAATGTAACATGCCTGGAAAAGCTTAATTTTATCACACATTTACATAAATTTAGAAAGCCCCTTCTGTATCTGCATTGTAACAAGCTAATGTTTTTAAATCTCACTTATTTCCAAAGTAAATTTTAGCAGCAGTATAGTATATTGTTCTGAATAGTTGACGAAGATTACAGGAAATCTGCAGTAGTTTGGAAGGCCTACCTAGAAATCCTTCTTACACTGTTCAAAGTGCCAGCAAATGGAGGACCAATAACTAAAAGTCTGTGATGCTTCTGGGGCTCAGATGTATATTATCTATCTATATGCTATCTACTATAAATACACAGATAAATCTTTACTTTTATACATCATGTGCATGCGCACATCAACAGAACACAGGGTGGAGCCCACTGAAAAGTTCTGGTTGCTGCCAACAGAATACCACTTCTGATTATATTCTTTTTTTAGAGCAGCCGTACAGTAAGACTTCCAGGTTTTCTACTACATGCCCTATTTTAGAGAGCCAGTACACAGATTATATTATGGCAGGCTCTGGCAAAAAGGATTGATTGCCCCGAGTGTAGGACGGCTGCATAACTTGTGAGTGTTTTAATATTTCTTTATTGGGAACAATCCTGACAACAGCTTGGCAGGAGAGGCAACCTTTCATTGGTATGCCTGTCCTATGTTAATGTTCTGCTTGGCTCACTATTTATTTTCTACTCCCTAATTCCAGCTTTTGAGATGCATTTTGATGTCAGTCAGTTTAACGCATTAAAAACAAAACTTGATGGCATTAGGGGATCAAATTTACTCCAGAGGGAAAGTTCCACAGAGAATCAATCAATCAAACAAGCAACTTTGTTCACAACAAGTCTTATAGTAAAATAGGGAAGTTGCTGCTTTTCTGACATGTGGTCCTCCAGAATACATACGTACAGCGACAGGACAGCAGTCACTGGCCTCATGGCCTGCACTGGTTAGAAGGAGTCAGCTGTGGAAGAGCCTGCAACGTCATCATCATTTCCTGTGTTAGTAGCACACCGGGCAGAGGAGATGGAGGATCGTGTGTGTGTGTGTCATGGGCAGATGTACAGAAGGGGAGTTCAGGCAGGTGATCACCAGCTTTCCCATCCAAACAGACTGGAGAGGGAAAAGGCAAGCTGGTCCTTGCCTGAAGAGATAGGAGCTGTAGGGTTACAGCTAGGCAGAACGGGAGGCATGGGGAAATTGTGCTGCTAGCGACTGCCCATGAGCAGTGAGGATCTGGTCATCCCACACCACTGACAGAGGAGGAGTTCTGCAACGCTCCCAGCTTCCGCCAGCCTTGAGTGTGACTCAACCTAATCCTGCCCCCACATGGCAAAACAAAAAACTCTCTCCAATCAGAGGCAGTATCCCTTGCTAAAACAGCTCATCTCCAGCTGCTGCAGTATTCACCCTGAATCACATGCAGCAAATTACACCTCCCACCCAGCCTAAGGCTACACTAGAGTGCTCACTCAATCCAGACTACCAAATATATCACAAAAAACACATAATGAAAGCAGTTTAAAAAAATAAAGACTGCTGCTCTAGAAGCATTAGAAAAGAACCAGGTTTAGTTCTTTTTCTTCTTAGACACTCAAGACTTCTGTGAATCTGATTGCTGAAAACGGTTTAGCTTCTCTGGATTATTGGACGCCATTTGAGAAAAATCACGAAAAATGTCCTGGTAAGTTTCATCTCCTGGGTAGAAGAAAAAAAAATAAATTAGGAAAATATTTCCCATGATGGCTAACACCATGCATCATCTCACAAATCTCCTAGTCCTTACTGCATAACATTTATATGTTTGTATAACATATTTTTCATATATGGTATAAAATGGGTGACATGAAAGGTGACAGACTGGTTAACTACATGCACACTCTGTAAAAGCAAATTAAACAAAGCCAAATTATACCTGAAAATAGCACCTCAAAGGCAGCCACACAGAGGAAAGTTCAGAGTTAGAAAGGAGAGATGCAAGTATTTTACAACAATGTAAAAGAAAAACATGTTTAATATATACAGAATAAAATCATTATTTTAAAAACGAAAAAGTCAGAGGCTCTCTTGAAAGTAGATCTATGGCAGAAATAAGGGATGAAGAAAAAATGTCATAACCAGCTAGTCCATACTATAACAATTATTAGCAAGCAACAGTATAAGAGCAGAGCACATTCCCACATTACTGAGGAAATTAAAGTTTGCAAGTGCTGGTGCTTTAGTATTTTAATAGGTAAAATGGCATTTTGTTTTATTTTTAAATGCAATGGGAGTCTCTCTACACTAAGACAATGACCCATTGCTGACAATGTTTCTTCAGCAGTGTCACCCAGCCCCCTTCAGTGGGTACTGAAAATGATTTTGCTGATAGACAGTGGAGCATGGAAAGGAGATTTGTTCCAGGTCTCTCTTCCTGTCTTGTCTACACTAGCAGCTAAGCAATTTTCAGCCATTGATTTCCATGGAATTTATTCATGTGCTGAACGCCTTGCAGAAGCAGGTAATATGCTGCCATCCAAAACCTGCCCCTTCCAAGTCGGGAAAGGAGTATGCAGGGGCCAAACACTGCTGTTCCCTGTCTGACAACTCCATTATATGTTGCACATCATAAGAGAAGAGGGGAACCAAAAGTTTACCTCTCTCACCAACTACAGTGGTGTGCAATACACACCTCCCTTCCCTTTGTCCGGCTGGCGAAGGGAAGCAGATAGTCCCCCTTCATCCATTTCCACGTGGTATGGTTTTAAATGACTTTACAGAGTCTTTAAGGGACAGGGAGTAGAAGGTTACATTGCCATTATGTCTTTCCGCCATTTTATATGTGCATTTCCAGTGCCAAACCTGTCTCATTCCTGTGTATTTGTGGTTAGCATTGTGTTCATTTGAAAACAGATTCTCAGAAATGACAGTTGGCCAGAACAAAATTAGAATAGTGGCAGGGCTTACATAAAAATGTAAGGTTTCAGAGTAACAGCCGTGTTAGTCTGTATTCGCAAAAAGAAAAGGAGTACTTGTGGCACCTTAGAGACTAACCAATTTATCTGAGCATAAGCTTTTGTGAGCTACAGCTCACTTCATTAGATGTATGCTTTTTTGTTTTTGCAAGATATATTTTTGGCTCTATTTTTGGCTAATAACAAAAAAGTATCACATACAAAAATAGACGAGTAAAATAAAATATCCCTTAAGTTTGCACACTGCATGAACATACTTAATACTGTAAACCTTGTAAATATTATTTTTAAGTGTTTAAAATTGAATTCTGGAAAGCCCCTTTCCAAGCAAAATGTAGCTAAAGTGCAGATTTTTAATACAAAAATACTATATCACTGATTAACCATTCAACAGCAAAATAACTTCAAAGGCACACATTGAACATTTAAGAAAAGACAGGAAAAGGGGTAGCAGACACATAGTAACAGACGTTCTGCAGCACCAAAAGGTAAGCATTCTCGAGTATTATGCAAGGAACGGTACCCACGGAGTATATGGCTTCTACCAGCAGCAATGCCTATTTTGTAGAATGAGCTGTTTAAATCAGCTAATACCCATTACATAAAGTACATTTTGGAAGACCCACTGTACCATGCAAAATCATGTATATGTTCCATCAACGGGTCAAACCAATCACGTTTTTACACCAGAAATGCTGATGCTACCTAGCTATACTAATCATTGGTTTCACTTACTTCATAGCATGGGTAAGTGGATACTGCAATCGGAGGGGTGACTGCAGCTCAGGTAGGCATACCTGCACTAACTTAATCTAGCTAGGTTTCAGAGTAACAGCCGTGTTAGTCTGTATTCGCAAAAAGAAAAGGAGGACTTGTGGCACCTTAGAGACTAACCAATTTATTTGAGCATGAGCTTTCGGGAGCATCCGATGAAGTGAGCTGTAGCTCACGAAAGCTCATGCTCAAATAAACTGGTTAGTCTCTAAGGTGCCACAAGTACTCCTTTTCTTTTAATCTAGCTAATGCAGCTAAAAATAGCAGTGAAAACCTGGCAACACAGATCTTTGCTGCAGTCCAGCAACACAAGTATGTAACCCAGGTTCCAGGTGGGTTTGTACAATCTATGCTAAAGCCAGTGTTACCACACCTTCACTGTTATTTTTAGCCACACAGTCTCGTTAAAGCTTCCACAGGTATGCCTACCTGAGCTCTGACTGCAGTGTAGACATACCTTAAAGTAGAGAAGTATCTACTTCGCATCACTCCATGCTTATATCAGGACTCTCTTACACCACACTTACCCTCATCCAACTCCCAATCCCAGGAAAATTATCAAAGAATCTATAATTATACCATCATCTTTTTCAGAACCACCTCTGAAGAGCAGTATTAGAGTAAGGGTGGTAAGGACACTTTAAGATACATCTCTCTTGCAAAGCTGTTGCCTTTATTGTCACCGTAAAGGCAGGGTGAACATATTTTGTTCTCAGGCTGGTAAGTTCACAGGACAATTTGCCAGGCTAACATATACTAACATTGAAAACATTCAGATCATCTGTTATAATTTGTAAATGTTCTGAGTCAACCAAATACTGCTGGTCACAAAGTGCCCAGGAGGCGGCATGATCCGGTGATTGAGGTGCTGGACCACGAGTCAGGAGACCCATGTTCTATCACTGGCTCTGCCAATCGCCTCCTGCATAACTTGAAGCAAGTCACTTCCCCCCTCTGCACTTCTATTTTCCCTTTGTCAGTCTTGCTGATTTAGACTGGGCAGGGACTGAGTCTCACTGTACCATGCCCAGCACAATGGGGTCTCCAATTTCAGCTGGGGCTTGGAGATACTGCTGCAACACAAATAATAGATAATCCTCAAATTGTCTTTGATGAAACAAATTCTCTACGTTTTCCGAGTTCTCCAGATGGTTGAAAAAATTTTGTCTAAAAATCCTTTGAACACAACGCTAGGGAAGACATTTTCAGTCACCTCAAGTTAAAGGTTAGACATTCAATGCACTTTATGTAAATAAAATTTGCCTGTATTCGTTATGAATGAAAGCCAGCGCAAGCCCTGGAATGTTCAGTAACAAAAACCTTTTCTATACACTATACAAATACAAATTTTGATTTCTAACACTTTCACATCTGTGGCACACCAGTTAATTTACCCAAAATTTATATAAAAGATTTTACTTTGGAGCTACCAAATTCAAGCATTTTGCTGCAAAGCAAATGCATTCCACCCTTGAAATTAGATGGTCATTTCTTTCTTCTTTAACTTTAAAATGAAAATGAAATTGAGAACTAAATAGTTAGGAGGTTCCCTGTTACCTGTAGCCTGTCAATCAAACAGCACACATCTTGTTAGCTGTTAATGTCACTGGCTAAATGTTGGACAGTCAAAAAGGGGATGGACTTTCCTTTACTCAGCAGAAGAGCTTGCATCATTTTTGACTGGTGGTTTCTTCCAAGTTTAATGTCAAAAACCTTTAATATTAACAACTCCAAGAAAATTCAGAGTTATGGTTGAAAATCCGTCCTTAAGGTCTGTTATGAAATGCATAATCCTAGGTTGCTGAATACTGGATTATGCTGCAGGATTTATGTGCGTATTTATGGGCTATTGGTATATGGTTTGATCTGCTGGTAAAGCACTTTTGCAGTGTCACTTTGAAGTGAATGGCACAAGCTTAAGTGCTTTGTTGGATCAACACCACAGTGATTAGCACGTTGCAGGAACGAGCCCTTTAAGCAGGATGGTTTTGCTTTAACTAAATTGCCTGGCTGGTGCCCATTTAAGTCAGATTTAACAATACCTAGTACTAGAACCTGTCAACCAGCTTCATTTCTATTATTGGTTTCCTTTAGCATTAGTTTAAATAAGTCCTCTATAATAAAAGTGGTTTGTATAAATACAAGTTTAGACATTTAAGTGTAAATGGTATTGTTTGCCTGTGAGTTATTTGTACATGTATGCTAAGTGAGATTTTTTGCTTTTTAATACCAATTGGACCAAATGCGTGCCAATTTTTTCTGATGTACTGGTTTAGTTGTATAGTACAAAAACGGGTCTTTAAAAATGAATGTTTGGTCTAAAACATTTTAAAAAATTAGTGCAAAAAAAGCCCTTCTTTTTATGTTTCTGCCCACAGTGATTTTGTATGAAAGTTTGGTGTAGGCCTCAGGAAATGGGGTTATAATGAAGACGACAGACACAACGGGGTTATAATGGAGAAGACAGACATCCCGTAGTAAGATTAACGCTTGACTGCTGCTGAACCATCCAGATAGAAGGCAGCAGCTGACCATTGCCTGGGTCTCAGCAGCACATTACTAGAAAGCTGCACAGCGGATGGTGTGGAAGGCCAGCAGCAAAAAGAGTTGCATACAATAGTGCTAACATGTACCACTACAATTGTGAATTTCAAGCACCCTCCCTCCTCCACCTGTGAACACATGACCGTTTAGAGTATACAACTGTCCACTTCAATCTAACATCATACATGTATATGTTGCTTATGAAAACACTGTGGTATGAAGCTACTTTAATTTTCTTTTGCTCAAAAACTATGAATCATCTAGCTGTAAACTAATAAATTCCTGAATGCATTTCTTATACTGCATCTCAGTATGGTTATTAGTAGAGTATTGACCTGGCTGTCCATAAAGTCCTTCTGATTCCCTCATTTCTTCATTCATTCTTGCCAAACGTAACCTATGGTTTGGAAAAGACAAGAACGTCATTTTGACTACAATGAAAACAACATAGTACAAACTATAATGCATTTCTGAGTTTCATCAGTGAAAGATACACAGGGCTTCTTTCAGTTCATCCAGTGAACACTTTGCCCCCCCCGGATTGTCTTGAGTTTGTCCATTCTGGTATAAATCCAATCAAGTATTTCTTATATGCTTACAGGACTCAGAGTATAGCAATACAGGAAAAAATCTGAAATTCAGCCTAATCGAACACACTTACAGAGTTACGATATCTGCATTTGCAGCTTCTACAGCTATACTCAAAGGGTCTTTCCCTTCTTCATCAGTGGCATGCTGATTTGCTCCTCGTTTTAGGAATAAACACACTTGCCTATTAAAGAAATTGCATTATTGCATAATTTCCACTAGAAAAAACAAAAGAAAACATTTTTACAGACGAACAAGCAGGATTCAATCCAGTTTAGTTTAAACCAACTAAAATAATCTGAACATCTCAAATCTCGTCCAAGTACATTTTACACAAACCCTGGCAACACAGCTTCAATCCATCAGCTCAATTAATCTGAAATGATGCCAAAATTTCAATAGTGCAGAAAGTCATTTCTTAATTTAATCAAAACTAAGCTGGAGCTGTGGAATAGTTTTTGATAAATATCACAGATGCACCTTGCAGATCAGGTTAAGGGAATGGAGACTGTTACAATGGGCCCCTCCTCCCTTTGGAGATCACACTCAGTAGGACCAAAGGCTTTAAGACCTCATAAGAACGTAAGAATGATCATATGGGCAATACTAGGACAATGGTCCATCTAGCCAAGGAATCCGGTCTTCTGACAGTGGCTACTGCCAGACGCTTCAGAGGGAATGAACAGAACAGGCAATCATCAAGTGATCCAACCCCTGTCATCCACTTCCAATTCCTAGCGGTCAGAGGCTTAGGGGCCTGGGGCTACATCCCTGCCCATCCTGGCTAATAGCTATTGGTGGACCTATCCTCCATGAAGTTATCTAGTTTTTTTGAACCCTCTTATAGTTTTGGCCTTCACAACATCCCCGGCAATGAGTTCCACAGGTTGACTGTGCATTGTGTGAAGTAGTACCTCCTTTTGTTTTAAACCTTCTGCCTGTTAATTTAATTGGGTGACCCTGGTTCTTCTGTTATGAGAAAGGGTAAACAACACTTCTTTATTCACTCTTCATACCACTCATGATTTTATAGACCTCTATCAAATCTGCCATCCTCACTCTTCTAAACTGAAGAGTCCCAGTCTTTTTAATCTTTCTTCCTAGGGAAGCTCTTCCATACCCCTAATCATGTGTTGCCCTTCCCTGTACCTTTTCCAATTCTAATATATCTTTTTTGAGATGGGGCAACCAGAACTGCATGCAATATTCAAGATATAGGAGTACCATGGATTTATATAGTGGCATCTTCTGTCTTATTATCTATCCCTTTCCTAACATTCTGGTAGCTTTTTGACTGCTGCTGCACATTGAGCAAATGTTTTCAGAGAACTCTCCACAATGACTCCAAGATCTCTTTCTTCAGTGGTAAGAACTAATTTAGACCCCATCATTTTGTATGCAAACCTGGGATTCTATTTTCCAATTTGCATTACGATGCATTCATCAGCATTGAATTTCATCTGACATTTTGTTGCCCTATCACCCAGTTTAATGGGATCCCATCTCTGCAGTCAGCTTTGGATTTAACTATCTTGAGTAATTTAGTATCAAATGCAAACTTCGCCACGTCACTATTCACCACCTTTTCCCAGTCATTTATGAATATGTTGAACAGCACTGGTCCCAGTACAGATCCTTGGGGGACCCCCATTTTTTACCTCTCCCCACTGTGAAAACTGGCCATTTGTTCCTACCCTTTGTTTCCTATCTTTTAACCAGTTACTGATCCAACAGAGAACCTTCCCCCTTATCCCATGACTGCCTAGTTTGATTAATGACAGAGCATTTGTTGAGGAAGGAACCTTGTCAAAGGCTTTCTGAAAGTCCAAGTACTCTATAGCCACTGGATCACCCTTGGCCACATTTGCTGACCCGCTCAGAGAATTTTAAGAGATCGATGAGAAATAATTTTCCTTTACTGAAGTGGCATTGACTTCCATCATATCATGTTCATCTGTGTCTCTGATAATTATTTTATTTACTATCCTTTCAAGAAATTTTCCTGGTACTAAAGTTAGACTCAATGGCCTGAAATTACCAGGATCAACTCTGGAGCCTTTTCAAAAAATTGATGTTACATTAGCTGTCTGCCAGTCATCTGGTACAGAGGTTGATTTAAGTGATAGGTTACACACCAGAGTTAGTAGTTCTGTAATTTCAGGTTTGAGTTCCTTCAGAACTCTTGGGTGAACAGCATCTATTCCTGGTGACTTACTATTGTTTAATTTATCAATTTATTCCAAAATGTCCTCTACTGACACCTCAATCTGGGACAGCTCTCCAGATCAGTTACCTAAAAAAAGGTCTCAGGTGTGGGAATCTCCCTCACATTCTCTTCAGTGAAGACCAATGCAAAGAATTTTTTTAGCTTCTCCGCAGTGGCCTTGTCTTCCTCGAGTGCTCCTTTACCATCTTAATCATCCAGAAGTCCTACCGATTGTTTGACGGGCTTCCTACTTCTAATCTACTTAAAACAAACTTTTGCCGATAATTTTTGTCTTTTGCTAGTTGCTCTTCAAATCCTTTTTTAGCCTGCCTGATTATACGTTTACGCTTGAATCATTAGCGTTTATGTTCCTTTATTTTCCTCAGTAGGATTTTACTTTCAATTTTAAAGGATACCTCTTTGTCTCTAACTGCCTCTTTTACTCTGTTTAGCCATGGTGGCTTTTTGGAGGGGATCCTCTCGGGTTTTGTTGTTGTTTTTCCAGGTATACATACAGTTTGCACCTCTACTCTGAGGTTTTTTTAAAAAAAACTCCATGCAGCTTGCAGGCATTTCGCTCCTGTGACCCCCTAACTTCCGTTTATCTAGCCTCCTCTTTTTTGTGTTGTTCCCTTTTTTGACAGTAAATGCTACGGTGGTGGGTTTCTTTGGCATTTTCTCCCCTACAATGATGTTACGTTTAATTACATGATGGTTGCTGTTACTGAGCGGTTCAGCTGTATTCCCCTCCTGGACCAGATCCTGTGCACCACTTAGGACTAAATCAAGAATGGCCTCTCCTCTGGTGGGTTCCAGGACTAGCTGCTCCAAGAAGCTGTCATTAATGGTGTCTAGACATTTTATCTCTGCACGCTGCCCTGAGGGGACATGCTCCTTGACAATATGGGGATAGTTGAAATCCCCCATTATTATTGGGGTGTTTTGGGTTTTTTGTATTCTCTCTAATCTCCCTGAGCATTTCACAATCACTGGTCAGGTGGTCCGTGGTATATTCCTACTGCTATACTCTTATTATTCAAGCTATGGATAGAAATTCCAAGAGATTCCAAGGTACAGTTTGATTCATTTAAGATTTTTTACTATATTTGATTCAGCTTTCTTTCACATATAGTGCCACTCCCCATCAGTGCAACCTACTCCATCATTCCTATACAGTAGAACCTCAGATTTACAAAACCCAGAGTTACAAACTGACCGGTCCACCACACCCTTCATTTGGAACCAAAAGTACACAATCAGGCAGCAGCAGAGACGAAAAAAAGCAAACAGTACAGTGCTGTGTTAAACGTAAACTACTAAAAAATAAAAGGAAAATTTAAAAAAGGTTTGACACGGAAAGGAAACTGTTTCTGTGCTTGTTTCATTTAAATTAAGACGGTTAAAAGCAGCCTTTTTCTTCTGCACATTAAAGTTTCAAAGCTGTATAAAATCAGTGTTCAGTTGTAAACTTTTGTTCAGAATTATGAACAACCTCCATTCCAGAGGTGTTCATAGCTCAGGTTCTACTGTATATTTTATATCATCATTATTCCACTAAGCTTCTGTGATGCTGATTATATCAACAACCTCATTTAATCCCAGACACTCAAGTTCACCCATCTTAGTATTTAGACTTATTGCTTTTGTATACAAACACTTGCAAAACTGGTCAGTATTTGGTTGTCTGCCTTCACCTGATGTAATTGAATGGGCCACTTTTTGTCTGTTTCTTTTCATTTTCTGCCTGTATTTTATCAATTTCTATCCTCTCCTCTTTACTAGGATATAGAAGATCCTCTTTAATAAATCCTCCCCTAAGGGATGTCTCTGTCGGAAGAAGGTGCTCCCTCCGCACCTGTCTGTTTCCCCCAGCCCTTAGTTTAAAATCTCCTTTACAATCTTTTTAATGTGACATGCCAGAAATCTGGCCACCCACCTCCAGCGTGTTGCAAGAGAACCACCACTGAGCAGCACAAACAAGATAGAATGTACACGCTGAAGAGTCTTCAGATTCAGGCACCTGCTTGTAGCAGTGGAGAGATGCTGTCTGAAACCCTGTTCAGTTGCCCGGCACTAGGGGCCCTTCACCCACACCAGGGAAGGCACTAAGCTTTTCCTCCCTTCCTCAAAACTCCCCCAGGACGAAGTGAAATTCTGGCAAGCCTGGCAGTATCTCGTCAAGAGAAGTTCAAGCAGGCGTATAGCAGGGACACTGCAGGTCAGACTATTATTTTCTACTACTTATTTTTATTGCAGTAGCATGTAGGGGCCTCAGTCATAGATCTGTGCCCCACTGCGCTTGGCGATGTTTGAACACACGTGAGGCGCACTGGCAGAGCAGTGTGTGTTGACAGGAAGAAATCAGGGACTGTTCTGGCCCCCTCTACACCAGTTCTATCTGTTTGTCACTTTCGTAAAAAGTGCAGTGCCCCTCAGGAGTTAGCAGCAATTGGTAATTGAAATACGTCCCAAGTTCTTCTAACTATCATTTAATACATATTATTACCAAAAGGACACTGGACTTTTCAGTCTAGCCCTTTACAGTCCAATACTCTGCTTGTTAATGAATAAAAATGCTAGTTTGAAAAGGGGCTGTGCATAAAAAGTCAGAATGTCCTTAAGAATAACTTCAGTTATTCAACATATATTAAAATGCCAGGAAATGCTGAAAACGTAAGAAGTATATTTGCAAATCAACGAATACAGGGAAGAATGGGTGTTCAACAAGTCCTGCAGCAGCGTGTTACCCAGTGTGCCCCAAGACTGTGCCATGGTGTAGTGGTCCTCTTCCTTTCACATCCCTATGGTTGACATTGGCACCATTCTGCAGCAAAAACTCACATGTAACCAATGAGCCCTAAGGAATGAAGACAAAAGACCAATTCAATGCTTAACCCTTTAGAACCAAGACCAAATCCTGCCTTCAGTGGATTTGGCCTCAGATATCACATTTCAGTACTGGCAGTGTATATGGTCTCAACCAGGTCAGTAACAGAGAAATGTTCAGAGATCACTTTATGAGAAAGGAAGGTAATTTGATAGTCAACTTTGGTACCACAAATCAAATGCCATCATTAGATAGCAAGGCAAATAATTAGCTGTTATCACCTATCCAGTGATATTTCTACTAGTTCCCCCCATGAATCAAGACGCAGTAAGTCACATACCCCTAAGACTGCCTGAATCAGTGGTGTTGCTTTGTTTTCTTCTGTATTGACCCAGTTTACGTCAGCTCCATGGGCCAATGCCTCTGCCATATCAGGAAGGTTCTTCTCATAGGCAGCTCGATAAAGCTGCAGTCCTGGATGAAGCTGTTTTGAATCATGAAACAAACAAGAATCTCGCTTTTCTCCTTCTGAAAGAAAGAAGATTAATTACTTGTAATTCTTGCTCTCAGAAGGTGCTGAATACACTTAGAGTATAGAAATAGATCACTCCACACTGCAAATCCATGCCTCTGGCACATGGCAGGTCAGACTTTGCAGAACAGTGTTCTGAGCCACTGAACCATCTTGCCATTGGGGGACATAGATGGCCATGGCTAAGTTCAATAAAAGTCACTAGCCAATAAAAGTCACTTTGTGGTTCCATTCAAAACTATGAACCACCACCAAGTTATTAGTAATTGTGGAACGTCACTCATTAATCTAGCTGTTGTATCTGACTTCAGAGAACAAGAATTACAGCCAAGAAATTTTCTTTTCTCCCAAGGTACAGCTTGTAAAGGAAACTAGAGAGCTCCAGGGATGCATCCATAAAAAGCACCTTAACTAGCAATCTATAGGTTTCAGAGTAACAGCCGTGTTAGTCTGTATTCGCAAAAAGAAAAGGAGTACTTGTGGCACCTTAGAGACTAACCAATTTATTTGAGCATAAGCTTTCGTGAGCTACAGCTCACTTCATCAGATGCATACTGTCTTCTGCAGTTTCCACAGTATGTAGCTGTAGCTCACGAAAGCTTATGCTCAAATAAATTGGTTAGTCTCTAAGGTGCCACAAGTCCTCCTTTTCTTTTAGCAATGTATAGAAACTTGCTATTAAGCTAACCTAGTAGAAATAGGGGTCAAAGGAACCACCTAGTGTCAATACAATGCATAAACAAACAGTAATGCAAAGTTTTAAATAGAGAGGCAAGATTGCTCTGAATATGAAAAAAAAAAAGTATATGGAAGCAGAGTTTGGGTACTCAACCCAGAAAATGGTTGCTGAGCAGATGGCACAAACCAGGATTGGTGCCATAATAGTGAGTCTATGCAATAATGCTTTGTACACACATGAGAACTGCATGTGGCTGCCCTGCAACTCCATTGCACAGGAGCTAATCTAGCAACTGTTGCAGACTTGCCCTCTGTCCGAATGTGCCTTAACACAGCTTTCAAGCTGTAAGCCTAGTTGGGAATAACAGTGAAAAATTATGTCAGACAGCTCTTTGGCATGGCATGAATAAGGATATTTGTGACCAATTAAAGAAAAGGAAAGACTGGATGCAAGAGATTCCAGATGCCTTGGTGCAACTACACTAGTGATGTGGCTATGCTGCCACGGATCCACCAGCCTGACCCCTCGGAACTGCACCGAGATGCACAGATTCCAGGGCCAGATGGGAACACTGCGATCATCCAGTCTGACCTCCTGCATAGCACAGGCCAGAGAACCTCAGGCACAATTCCCCAAGCAGACTAGAGTGAATAAAAGGCCTGTCTGGGAAGTTCAGTTGTATTTCCAGCAAAGACAAGAGAGGTACATGATGGGAAGAAGCAGCCTTGATGTACACCTTGAGGCAGGCTTCAGGGCATGAAACGTCAAGACTCAGAGCTGATACCTGGACACAGCCCTTCAGCTCTGACCTATGGAACAAAAAATAGCTACAAAAATGTTGAAAAGTGCTTCTGGGCCTATCAGGCCAGCTCTGCTCTGAAGCACCACTTTTCAACCCAGACTCTCGGTACCAGTGAGAGCTAAACACGGCTTAAGGGCTCCTTCCCTAAGGCTGCGTACCATGATGGTGTTAACTTATGGGATGCATTGGGGCGGCTTGTCACAAAACGGCATTCACTACAGGATCTGACTGCAAGAGGTGATCCTACATGCCAATCCAATACAGGCACTGGAGGCTATGACTGTACCTGGGTGACACCGCTCAACTGCTGGGGTCATTCCCCAAGCATAACAAACCAACCATCAGAACTGAAACTTAATCTAAAAAAGCCCCAACAAATCAGCAAAAAAGATGCATCACAGACACACAGCACATCAAAGTCTCACCACACTGGCTAAGCCTGGCCTCACTCTAGCAGTCAGGCTTGTAAATAAAAGAAAACTAAGGGTACGTCTACACTTGCAGAGTTCTTGCACTGTAAGTTTCACCGGTGATAGGGAACCGGGGAAAGAACAGCGCTGGTTTGTCTCCTCACTTCATTCCTCAGGCTTCAGAGCGTTTACATGAGCAGCACTTCCATCCCTGATGAGAGCAGCACACTGAGGGCAGCTATCCCACAGTGCAGCTCTCTCCATTTTTGTGGGGGAGGGGGGATATCGTGGGGCATCCTGGGTCCCTGCACAGCCTCCTCCCCACAAACACTGATCAGCTCCAGTAGCTCAGCATTGCTCCAAGCAGGAGATCCTTTGCTCCGTGGAGCAGCCATTGTCACCTGGCCAGATGATAGGCGAGCACTTGCCAAGAAAACAGGAAGGGGCGTTTCAAAGTTCCCGGGGCTCTACAGGGGAGGGGTGGATGTCTGTTTACCTGGCATCAGAGCTGCAGAGCTGCTGGCTAGAGTGGTCACTTTAGGCTCTGTGGGAGATCCTACGGAGGCTAAAAGCTCTGTAAACAGGAAGAGCGTGTCTTCACTTGCACATCACCGCAAAAGCATCACCAGTAAGAGCTGTATGGCTCTTGTGGAGGTGGTTTTCTTTTTGCGGTAAAACTTCAGAGTTTCACCACAAAAAGCCATTGGGCAAGGGTAGACGCTCCCATGGGTTTTTGTGCAAAAAAGGGACTTTTTCCACTTTAAATGGCAAGTGTAGACATGCCCCAAGTCAGCGATTAACTGACAAAAGAATTACAGAGAAACAGGAAACAAGTCATCTGAGATCTGCAAGCAAAGGGCAAGTCAGCATCAAGCATTGAAGGGAACTTCCAATTCCATCCAACGGCTGAGAAGGGGAGGCCGTGGCGAAGCAGTGGCTGGTTGCTGTATCATTCACAGTCGCAGCAAGGGGCAGCCTGTCTTCAGACACATAGGACATTCAGAAATCTGAGCTGTCTGAATGTCAGACACACAGATCCATCAGGCAGGGAGCAATTATGACTTGTAGCTTTGGTGATCAAGTAAACAAAAGTAAGAGAAGCATGCATGTTGCCAAAAAGATGCCTGATATGTTTCAGCAATGCTGGCAACACGGGAAGATTTCTAAGGCTATGTCTACACTGCACACCTTACAGTGGCATAGCTGTGCTGCTAAAGCCTTGCACTGAAAGGCATGCAGCGTAAGCTGCCCTTTGTTGGCAGGAGAGAGCTCTCCTGCCAACAAAATAAAACCACTCCCAACGACAGGTGGGAGATGCATTCCCGCCCACAAAGCACTGTCCACACCGGCACTTTTCATCGGTAAAACTTTTGTTGGTCAGGGATGAGTTTTTCCTCACACCTCTGACAGACAAAAGTTTTACCAATGAAAGTGCAGTGTAGACATAGCCTGAGTCTGCTCCCTTCTGGTGCAAAGGGTTTACTGACACAGCTCTAGCGGAGAAAAAGATCCCAGTCAGAACTGCTGCAAAAAGCTATAGAACTGTGCTAAAAAAGATGGCCTGGAACCTGGGATTGCCCCCGCTGCCCATTTCAGCAGGGGAAAGTTTGATCAGACCAGACTGGCAAGAGCAAGTATCCTCTGGGCTCCAGGTGAACAGTGGCAGGAAGAGGTAACTTGGATGCTCTGTAATAGCACCACCGCCTGGCGCACTCCCAAACACACACACACACAGCCCAGAGCAGATGTGGAAACTGTATGGGGGAGCTGAGGGGACAGAGGAAGAGGAAAAGGCTTCTCTGCCTCCTGGTGCCATCTATTCAGCAGGCTGTTGTGGGGGTGGGGGAGGAGCTGAATGGCTCTTCTCCCTCCCCCACAACCATGCAGCAGCCTTCCTGCTGCAGCTGCTGCCTTCCTGCTGCAGCTGCTGCCTTCCTGCTGCAGCTGCTGCCTTCCTGCTGCAGCTGCTGCCTTCCTGCTGCAGCTGCTGCCTTCCTGCTGCAGCTGCTGCCTCCTGCTGCATGCTGCCTTCCTGCTATGCTTCCTGCTGCAGTTGTCCTCTGCAGCTGCTGCCCTGCTGCAGCTGCTGCCTCCTGCTGCAGCTGCTGCCTCCTGCTGCAGCTGCTGCCTCCTGCTACTGCTGCCTCCTGCTGCAGCTGGCCTCCTGCTGCACGCCCTCCTGCTGCAGCTGCTGCCTTCCTGCTGCAGCTGCTGCCTTCCTGCTGCAGCTGCTGCCTTCCTGCTGCAGCTGCTGCCTTCCTGCTGCAGCTGCTGCCTTCCTGCTGCAGCTGCTGCCTTCCTGCTGCAGCTGCTGCCTTCCTGCTGCAGCTGCTGCCCTGCTCTCTCTGCCCTACAGGTATATTGTGAATTGTGTTTCGAAACTGAAGCACCTCTGACCAGATCACCACTTTCTGGGATTAGGAAGGCATTCTTCCCTCAGGGCAACACTCCCATTTAGCCAATTAAGAGGCTAGGGCAGCACCTGGAGCTAAAACAGACTAGGGAGATGCACAAAGAGAGAGACCTGGTGAATCAGAACTGCCTGAGTGGGAATCAGGGACAGGTGAGAGCTGCCAAGGATCAGGGCTGTTGGATGGTCCCAGAAGGAAGCAGAAGGTCGTTCCTGGGGGAAGGCTGAAGGCAAAGAGAGCAGCAAGAGAGGTTTGCTAGTCTATGTCCCAAGCCGGAGAGCCAGAGCTTGAGAGCAGGGGAGAGGCTTACTGGCTAACGTCTCCATGCTGGAGAGCTGGACCCAGGGGAACAGTGAGAGGGCTATAGGGAGTGACGGATGCTGCCAGGTACCCGCTGGGAAGAACAGAGTTGCACTCCGTATGGAAGTGTGGGCTGGGGCATGGTGAAGAGTGCCGGGGCTGCGCCGGAGGGCTGAGGCCTTGTGGGGGCACCAGAGCTGTGTGTTGCATGTACCATTTGGATGATGCTGGGGAAATTCTATAGCATGGGACATGCTTTGTTATGATTTATGTGCATGGGACTTCTGCAATAAATGAACCTCAGAAGGGCTGTTTGTCCTCAGAAAGACTTTTGACTATTTCTACAGAGTCTGCAGGGGGGAAATCAGGCAGGTGTGCCCGTCATGCTGCAGCACGCGGCAGGAGAGCTCTTCAGGCCCAGACCACCCTATGACAAGACCGAAAACACTTCAGTTTTTACTAGCTGGGCTAATGAAGGTATCTTGGGGAAATAAGAGCAACTTTTAAAGGAACTCCCAACTCTGACTGTTTCATTGCTCTGCTTTCAGTCTCCAACAAGAATTGTACATTCATTAAGTTCCCACTCTTTCTGAGTGAGTCAGAATTCCAGCTACCAGGATGCAATATATATTCAACCATTTATATATGTTCCTCTGGACACCTATTTGCAATTTTTATGAATGGTGGCTAACGAGGGATGTAAGTCTTTAATGCCAGAAGCCTTCCTTCAGAGGACAGTCAAAACAGCACTGCTCTAAATGATGTAAAAATAAATTCCAGTTGGTATTATCTGAGGCAGAAAAACATCTTCCAGTGGGATGTAGAAGGATTCAGCTACCTTCCTGCTACCACACATGAGAGGGAGAACGGGTGAAAGACAATACTGCTGCTCGCAGGAATTAGCAGCTATATTAAAACGACACTTGGAACAGGAGGGGGAAAAGGGGAAATCTTAGTAATACCACCAGTATTTACTGGGACCAGCAAGTCGCAGTCTGCTTTTTGCTAGCATGTTTTTAATCAGAAAAAGAAATCACTTAAGTCCCATCTTTAAGTGCAAGATCAAACGGACCTGGCTCATACAAACTGTTTGTGGAGATGGTGGAAGCGAGGTGTTCTCTACGGTCATTGGCACTGTGCTGGGTCCCACTGTCACTGCTTCTTACTGTTTTCAGGAAAAAACGTATTAGAGTTCACGCTACTAAGGTACCCATCTCTTATACTTAGTCCTGAATTCATTACCAGTTATTTTTAAGGGAACAGCGGTAACGATTCAATATTTCTAATGTATTCAAAGAAATAATCTGAAACTGCACTTTTGATCCAGACACTTACAGTGGTTCAAGCTGCAACCATTTTATAAAAAGGAAAGAGGTCAGGATAAGTCAAAAGCTTAAAATTATTTCATGGAAACACGAAGCAATGCAATAGCTTGGAGACAATGGACTACAGGTAGAGAGATGACCACGCCACACAATGGACCACAATGCAGATGCTGAACCCATCATGAGAGTAGTACTTACTACTACGCAGTTTTGAAGAGGTATCAAAGTAGGAGAAGAGTGAATCTAGCTCATCAGGACAGAACAGAGACTCCCGCCTCACCTCGTCGCTACTTACAGCAACCGCTGGGGACATGCAAGTTAGCAAAGCACAAAGCAGGCAGCAAGGAGGGGAAAGGGCAGGAAGAAGTTATTGGGAAAGTTTAGGATGATAAAAATAGGGAGGAAAGACTGTGATTAGTACATGTCTGAATTTAAGATGCTCCTCCCCCTTAAAATCAAACACACTCCAGGGCAAGTATAATATTTCCCCTGAGCCTCTGAAACAGACTTTGAACAACTGAGACCCAGCTCTGCCTTCTCTTTACTGAGATAGCAATTCAGTAAATAAAATATCAGTGACACATTTTAAAAGAACATGCTAATAGATACAAGGATGGGGGGTGTAAATACCTGTTGGAGAAGCTGTGACATGTTCACCAGCCAAAGGGGATTTTTCAGGGATGTTGTGCCTCTTTTCCTCCTGACTTTGAGGCAGAACTTTTGTTCCATGCTCAGGAGACACTGATGCAGGCTGTCTCTCCACAAATTTTTTTTCCACGTATTTTGCTCTGATATAATCCTCTTTCTCCTGCCTGGCACAGGCAAACATCAATGAAGTTATATTAACTTTACTGAACACAGTAAGTAGTGCACACATTCATATGAAAGCCATTATTAAAGTAATGCAGTTCAGCCTCTGAGTTATTTGCATGTATAATTTTTTTTTAAGAAAGCTGAAAACAATATTTTCCAGCTCTCTAAAATGCAAAATTCTTGAACAGACTTAAAGTTCACTTTGGAAGTAAGCCTGCATCTGTTTCAGCCCAAGAGAAGAGTTTTTGAGAATGCTGAGTGAATGAACACAAGTTTATAAGAAAACCAAACTCCATGTTTAGAATAGCTTACACTCCTATGATAGTGTACTTGTGGCACCTTAGAGACTAACCAATTTATTTGAGCATGAGCTTTCGTGAGCTACAGCTCACTTCATCAGATGTATACCGTGGAAACTGCAGCAGACTTTATATACACACAGAGGATATGAAACAATACCTCCTCCCACCCCACTGTCCTGCTGGTAATAGCTTATCGAAAGTGATCAACAGGTGGGCCATTTCCAGCACAAATCCAGGTTTTCTCACCCTCCACCCCCCCACACAAATTCACTCTCCTGCTGGTGCTAGCCCATCCAAAGTGACAACTCTTTACATAATCAAGTCGGGCTATTTCCTGCATAGATCCAGGTTTTCTCACATCCCCCCCACCCCCATACACACACAAACTCACTCTCCTGCTGGTAATAGCTCATCTAAACTGACCACTCTCCAAGTTTAAATCCAAGTTAAACCAGAACATCGGGGGGGGGGGGGGGTAGGAAAAAACAAGAGGAAACAGGCTACCTTGCATAATGACTAAGCCACTCCCAGTCTCTATTTAAGCCTAAATTAATAATATCCAATTTGCAAATGAATTCCAATTCAGCAGTTTCTCGCTGGAGTCTGGATTTGAAGTTTTTTTGTTTTAAGATAGTGACCTTCATGTCTGTGATTGCGTGACCAGAGAGATTGAAGTGTTCTCCGACTGGTTTATGAATGTTATCATTCTTGACATCTGATTTGTGTCCATTTATTCTTTTACGTAGAGACTGTCCAGTTTGACCAATGTACATGGCAGAGGGGCATTGCTGGCACATGATGGCATATATCACATTGGTGGATGTGCAGGTGAACGAGCCTCTGATAGTGTGGCTGATGTTATTAGGCCCTGTGATGGTGTCCCCTGAATAGATATGTCTCTAAGGTGCCACAAGTACTCCTTTTCTTTTTGCGAATACAGACTAACACGGCTGTTCCTCTGAAACCTATGATAGTGTGTCATACTTTAGAAACATCTGTATACCGTATCTTTATATATGTAACAGCAACCTAATAAAATATTGTCCATTTAGATTTTTATGTAAATATTAATGTTATGCCTGGGAAAGTTAAGATTATAAGGGCTGGACACGTGAGTAATGAATGATGCTAGGTGCAAAGTAGGCAGCTGCAGCATAATCTGCACTGAAATGCGCTTTCTTCCTCACCTCAGGGTGCCATCACCAGGTACACACAAAATGTGTGGCAGAGACAAACAGGTGATTTTATTTTTCAGCCACCTTTCAGGTGCAAGCTAAGAAAGAGCAATCAAGTATAGGAATAAATTAACGAAAGGGTTGATGAAACCACCATCACTGGAGTTACTGAAGAATAGCTAAGACGCTCGTGGGAATGATGTCAAGCATCCTGCAACAGTGGTTTTCTAGTGTCCATGCACCATGAGTGATCTGCAAAGCGTGGTGGTCCAGAGCATGAAGCTGTGTAAGAACATGCAGGAGGGAACTGGGAATTTGGGTATGGAAGTGTTCTACAAAGAGCTCTCTTATAAAGTGACCCACAGAATGAAAGTTTAGAGGCCTATTGTTATGCATGATTGGGCACAGCTTGACCATGAAGCATAGGAAGGAATGAGAGGAGACAGAGTGGCAAGATCAGAAATACCTACTTGAAGGTTGTTGAGAACATAATAAGAATTAAATGCAATAACGTGACGATGAGAGAGGGAACCCTGATGCAAAGGACTCAAAAGAGCACTGTTTTGTGAAGAGGTCAGTCATGGAGTGGCAGAGATAGTTGGTAGAGGTATATTTCATTGCTGCAGGCTGACTGCGAGGAATTGAGTAGCCCTGGAGTCAGACTGTCATCAGCATAAAAGTTGAAGTCACTCAGGTTAAGGGATGGGGACTGAGAAAAGGGAAAAACTAGGGAATCAGCATCAGCACAGGATAAGGATGGCCAATGATGGCCTCCTGGAGGAGAAAGGCGAGGATTTGGACAGGGCAGAGAGCTAAAGAAAAGCTGAAAGGGCCAACAGAAGGCAACAGTGTCCGGGGGGGAGGGGGAAAGAAAGGGCACTCAGAGGGATCTGTGCAAACTGCGTCCCAGGGACCAGTCACATGTTCACAAGGGCAGGAGGAGAGGGTATGAGATATGGTAGCTTTGCTGGAGATTGAGTGACAGCTTCAGAAGGAAGAGAACAAGGGAAGGAATGCTGGGAGGGAGCAGCAGGTGGAATAAGGCTGGTGGGAGATAACAGGGATGCCAGGAGAGCTAGGGTCATAACAAACGCTGCCAGCAGCAAAGAGATGGTGGCAGAGAAGGAGCTGAGGGAGAAATTAATGTACACGAGAACTGGTGGGAGATGAAAATAAGGTGGAACAGAAGCAGTTGAACAGGTAGAGGAAGACTTTACACACGCAGAGGAGGCTAAAGTAAGGCTCTGGCTACACTAGTACTTTCATCGGCAAAACTTTTGTCGGTAAGGGGTGTGAAAAAAACCGCACCCCTGACTGACATAAGTTTCACTGACAAAAGCACCGGTGTGGACAGTGCTATGGTAGTGGGACACATTCTCCCCCTCAAATAGCTACTGCCACTCGTTAATTATGCAAGTGGAAGAGCTTTCTCACCAGCAGAGAGCAGCTGCACGAGAGACCTTACAGCAGCACAGTTGAGTGGTTCAGCTGTGTCACTGTAAGGTCTGTAGTGTAGATATAGCCTAAGGCTGGAAGAGACAGAAAATGACAGGATTGTGGGAGGAAGAGACTGGGGAAAGGGTGAAGGGAGCTAAGCAGAAGGCCAAGAGGGAGAATATGGTGCAGTGCTGAGGAGAACACAAAAGCTTTAGTCTCCACCATAAGCAGCGTCTATGAACCAAATTAGTTTTGAGAATTTCCTGGCAAAAGCATGTCAGAGAAAAGCAGACTTTACTTCCTCGCCCCAGAAAATGCTGGGCTGCTGAATGGAAGCAGAGAGAAATACACTGTTCCACAGAGGATTAAAGCAATAGTGATGAAAGAGAAACTGTAACCATTAGGCATTTGACCCGAAGGAGCAATGGTGCAAAATGGGCACAAATTAGCAACACAAAGACAAAATTAAGTTATTTGTGCTAAGTGACAATGCAGAGAGTTTAAAGGGAGAACATTTATAGCACTAGTTACAAGAAGATCAGTAAAACCAAACTAAATCACTACCTTTGGCTTCCAGGTTGTGGCTTCTTAACTCCCATTCTTTCAACTTTTGCTTCATATATTCTATTGATGACATCATTCCCCAATTCACACATCAGCTACAAGACAAGAAAATATCAGCACAACTATAAAAGGCATTATCTCTCTGAGTGATATTCACACCTCGCCCATCACCACAGTGTTTGGGCCTCTTGAGATATCTTTCATTTACAATAGTTTAACAAACCTTGTCAGAGTAGGGGTAATGAAACAAGAGTGGTGAATAAAAGAAAACAGACTTCCAAATGAGCTGATGAAAAAACAGTTTGGGCTGGTAAATGGCAAATACCAAAAAAGAACTACTCTGTCAAGGGACTAGCAGCAGGTTAAAGTGTGATTCTAGTCTGAAAAGTGATTATGTAAAAATTGCACCACCCTCGTGCTCAACAGTTCTTTTATTCACTCAGCCATACCTGCACCTTTTACTGAATATACCCCTCTTAGTCCTGCAGAGCCTGCACACATAAGAGGCAATACACTGAGTTCTAGTCCATCTCATGCATCAACAGAATCAGCTCCAATCACTTACATCTGTACAAAACCCTCAACGGTACAGGGGCTGCACAGGTGTCACTGCAAGCAGAATTTCCCTTGCAGAACTGTTATTGGGAGTGGTGTGTCAGAAGGAAAGAATGCAGCTTGACTCTCAGACCCAGACAGAGATTGCTAACCTGACTTTTAAAGGGGCGGGGAGTGCTTAATTGTAAAATTAACACATTTGAGGTGGAAATCCACAACACAAGTAAGATGAAATCCGCACCCTTATCCCTGCTGCCATTTTTACAGGGTTATTCTTTAGGATTAGAAAAGCAGTAAGGCCCAATAACTTGTGAACCATCCTAGCTAGAAACAAATGCTTTGGACGAGCTATCCAACTGCACAAATGTATAAAGCATTTTTTCTATTCATCAGGTGACATTGGATCTTAATAATCACACCATTCTGATAAATACGTACTGTGACAAAGCTCCGATCTTGTCTCAGTGGGTCCCGCGCTTCCTGGCGGATTATGATAGCCTCAGAGGCTCACTGTGACCCTCCCCATAGCCCTTCTCTCTCTAGAGGCACGGGTCACAGTCTACTGTGCCATTTTCAACATAAGACAGCAAGGGAGGCGAGGAGAAGCTACCCTCCCTTGCACAGTCTCTGTCGTCTCCTAGTCTCAGTGATTCATCAGGGAATGGAGGGGGGAGGCCAGGCCCACCCTCTACTCTAGGCTCCAGTCCAGGGACCCTTATAGTATCAGCTATGGTAGCGGACTTTTTGGAAACAGGACACGTACAATTCCCTGGGCCACGTCCCCACAGCAGCCCTCACTTCCTCAATATCTACTTCACCCTTACCTCAGGGCCTCCTTCCTTATGCCTGTTATGATTTGTACTGCTTAGTATCTCCAGCAGCACGGCTTCCTCCTACAGCTCCTGACACACATGCCCACCTGACTAACTGGGAGGCTTTTAACTGGGAGGCTTTTAACTAGTTTCAGCCAGACCTTGATTGGCTTCAGGTATTCCAATCAACCTAGCTGTCTTCCCTGCTTTCTGGAAGGATCTTAATTGGCCCTAGGTGTTTTAATTGACCTGGAGCAGCTGCCATTTGCTTATCCTGGTAACAGGGATTTGGCTAGCCTGGGGCTAATATATCCATCTCCCACTACATTACTAAAGCCATCTGCCCTTGCCCCGTCACAGTACATACACATAACTCTCTCCTCCCCCCACAATGCGCACACACAAGAAATCTGAAGCAACTGTAGTAATGTCTTGAACATCAATATTCTATACCAAGCGAAGCCTTGGAATCCCTTTTTTCAAATGGTGTTGGGCTTTGGTTTGTAACTCAGATTTCATTAGCTATTGTGCTTAAATCAGGTTGAAAATGCTGTGAATAAAAAATATGATAATCCTCTCTCACTTTCCAAGGCTACTTGGCCCACTACTAATTGTTCCGTGCCAACAGACATTTCCAAGCACAAGCTCTAGACCAACAATTAGACAAATAAATTCAATTCCTGCTACAAACTATTACTATCATTTTTAGAAACTCTCTTCTCATAAAGGATTACCATACCTTTAGAAGTTCAGGCTCCCATGTATCTAGTGTTAAGGATCTAACTTTTGAAAAGTGAACTCCTAGACTCCTAAACAGGGGAGAAAAAAAAAACACCTCACATTAATACGTAACTACTGTACGCTAACATACTGTCTTATGTTAAGCAGGCTTACTAGTCCCTCTTGCAGATCAAGCTGTTATCTTAATTCTATCTGCATGCAGGGGTCTCTAATCTTGCCTCCAAACACGTTACAAGATGGAAAAAACACCTCATAATGAAGTAATGCTTTGGCCATGCTGCATGAAATGAGGCATGTGTGAAGGGTTTACCTACCTGTGTATCCCAGAACACTCAATACACAATGTGATTCCTAGGTTGATACTGGCCCAACGAGGATCTGCCAGGCCACAATCACAACAGGTGATGTTACCACCAATACACTGAACCCGCTGTAGCGCACTTTCTCCTTTTAACAACTTCTCTTTTGACTCACTGCCAGATTCTAGGCTTCCTGTAGAAGGGGATGACGATTTCTTCTCTAGTTTCTACAAAGAGGCAACCAAAAAAAAAAAGAAGAAGAAGAAGAACTAGAGACACAGCAGTTAACATTGCTATGGCCCTGGAGGAAGCTTCCACATTTATCTATAACTCTTTAATTGCTAAACAACAACTGAAAGGAAAGATATGTAACTACAAAAACATCCAATATGCACACGCACCAGGAACCTGAGATCAGAAAATCTTGCAAGCAGCATCTACTGGTCTGCACCTATGCCCTGGAGCTCCTTGTGCTCAGCAGCAAGGGTTATAAAGGGAGCTGTGGACCACCTGCCTCTCCAGTTCCTTCACTACCGTGAATCCAATCCAAAGCAGAAGGGAAAGTGGGCAGGTGGTAGAATACAGATAGGGATCACGTATCTCAAAAAACCACCAGTTACAAGTAACCAACCTCCATTTCTTCTTTGAGTGCTGATCCTTGTGTATTCCACACATGGGTGACTGGTAAGCAAGAGTCAAATGGGGGGGGGGGGGGGGGGGGGGGGCCACAAGGATGCAGGTGGTACAGATGCCCATAACATGTTCCAAACCTGCATCTGCAGAAGAGGCTTAGACTAAAGTGTAATGCTTCACGAAAGTGTGGCTGGAACCCCAGGCTGCCACCTTACAAAGGTCCACCATAGATGAGTATCAAAGAGATGCTTCTGAGGTTGCTTGTGCTCCAGTAGAATGGGCCCTTACACCGTCCTGGAGAGGGAGATGCACTGACAGTAAAGGAGGATAGAAATCCATGTAGACAGTCTCTGAACAGGTATTACTTGTCCTTGTGCTCACTCTGCTATAGCAACAAATAGTCAAGGCATTTTGGTTTCATTCTTTGTAGGCAGAATGCCAAAGCTCATCTGAGAGTCAGGCCTCCTCTCCTTACTGGAGTTATAAACCTTTGAAAAGAATACCAGTAAGTTAATGGACTTGATTTATGTGGAACCCAGAACTTACCTTAGGGATGAATTTTGGGTTGAGGCAAAGGGATACCTTTTCTTTTTGACAAGTTCCCTATGGTAGGTTGGCCATGATTGCATTCAATCATGCTCACTCACCATCCTGGCTGATGTGATGGTGATAAGGAAGGCAACCTTTGCGAATAGGTGGAACATCAAGCACATGGCCAGCGGTTGAAAGGGCAGCTTAGTAAGTATTGAGAGTACAAGACAGAGGTCCCAGTTAGCTGTTGGCTTCAATTCTGGTGGGAAGGCCCTAGTGAGACCCTTCAGGAATCTGAGTGTTATGGGGTGAGTCAAAATAGACTAGACCTCTACTCAAAGATGCAAGGCACTGATTGCTGCTAGGTGGACCAGCAGCAAGTGAATACGAAGGCCCAACTTCTCAAGAGTGAGGAGGTATTCTAGAACAAACAGGAATACCTGCTGTCTCTGGAGATAAATGATTTTGTTGTGCCCAGGTAGAGAAGTGCCTCCATTTAGCAAGATAGCATTTTCTGGTGGAGTCTTGTCTGCTGTGATTAAGAATAGTTTGATGAACAGCCTCCGAACATGAACGCTCTAGGTCTGATCCCCTTCCAGACACCAGGCCGTGAGGTGGAAACCGTATGGGCTGGGATGTCTAGTCCTGCCATTCTCTAGTGATAGATGCAGGAAGGGTTGGATGGTGGATGGGTAGACATTCACAGGAGGTCTGGAAATCAGAATAGCCTGGGCCAGTTGAATGCAATAACAATGACTTGCACTTTGTCATGATGAACCTCCCACAGAACCTACAGCAGCAGCAAAACAGGGGGAAAAGTTGAAGTGGTCTTTCCAGGATTGTAGAAAGGCATCGCCTTGGAGTCCCAACCCAGTGCTGCTCTAGTGCAGTATATGTTGAACTCCTTGTATATCAGAGATGAATAGGTCCCACAATGGAGTTTCCCACTGAATGAAGATTTTGTTTAGCACTGAATTGTGTATCTCCCACTCAGGGTCAGTGGAGTAGCTCTTTCTCCTTGAAGTTGATTCCTTTTCTGGTGTGGATACTTACCTCAGAAGGACTGAACCTGAAAGCCCAGGCGATTATGGGTATGGGAGGGCGAAGATGTCCTCCAGGGAATTATAAGCCTCAGTCTATAAAACTTCAGCTCCACCTTACAGTAGTACAGTGAGCAATCAGACAGGGAAAGGCACCTCCCAGCCAGTCATTGACACTAGACCAACTTCAAGTACACATCCATTTTCCAGCCCAGGAAAGGACAATGGTGGACCACTGAACGTAATGGAAAGACATCCCGGCTCTCGAATCAAGAGGGGATCTCCACAGTCTGTATGACCATGAGTCACCATGTATTGGGGGGGTGGGGTGGAGGGAGGGGTGAGAAGCTTTGTAAAAGCAGGCATGTGTCTTAGGGTTGGCCTCCAGAAACTGAGGAGCAGTCTTTAAGTCGGAAGCTGTCTGTGAACCCTTGATCCCCAAGCTAGGGGGATACGTGGGAAACTGTCCAAAGGCAATAGGTAACTCTCATTAGAAAAGGGATTTTATCTAATACAGAAGAACAAAGCCTGATGTTGCGTTTATGCTTATTTTATGTGTAACCTGACTGTTTGCTTTCCCTCGCTATTTCAGCTTTGAATCGGTTTTTCTATTAAGTAAATCTTTTGTTTACTTTTCCACCCCAAGCAGCCCTCTATTTGCAAATTGTGTGGCATGTGGATGCCAAAGTGAGTGGATGGCCAAGGGGCTGATGGAGGGGAACAGTCTGAGCATAAGGTACCTAAGAACTCGGAAAGGATGGACTTGGGCAGACTTAGGACAAGAAGCGCTATTGGGGTTACCCTACAAGTAGTAACTGGGCTAGTGGAAGCCAGGGTGAGACCCTGGGCTTGTAGGTAGGTGTTGCCACTGAGCTGTGGACAGTCGAGCCTAGTGAAATGGGAGATTAGAGCTAGGTCCAGGGTAGACAGAGTTCAGGAACGGGCCAAGGGTCAGTACTGGAGGGACAGAAGCTGAATGCCAGAGCCAGAGTCGTAGGGAAGAAGTGGAGCAGTGGAGCCAGAAGGGAACAGGGCTGGTGCAGAGCAGGGGCAAGCCTTGGACGCAGGCTGGAGCATGGCTGGAACAAGGGCAAGCATAGCTGCAGGACTGGTACGCACTGAACATCCGCTCATCTACTATCGGGCCAGGCTTATAAGCATGGCTGGTAAATCAGCAGCCAATCAGGGGCTGTGGTTACTCTGTCAGTTCAAAGGCACTGCAGCTGGGCTCACTGGTTGCCTAGCAGCAAAGCTACTCAGGGAGGAGACCAGCAGCTGGTCCAGCATCTGGGATGTGAGCTACAGCAGAAGAGCATGAAGGCACCTGAGGTTATAGGGCAGATGGTGAGAGAAACACTTACTGATCTTGGTGATCTCCAAAATGTCACACTTGCTCCTGTGCACCTTACCCTCATGGTTGGGAGGCTTAAGTGGGACTAAGTCTTTAGGACCTGAACGCGAGAGCTCACCCGATTTGGAAGGAGTCGAAGAGGGATCCTCTCTCTTGGGAACAGACCCGGAAGGGCATTTTTTCTTGTTTCTGTGACTGGTGTCCTCAACTCTCATGAGAAGCCTGACAAAGTTTTTAGCTTTATCAGATCTGGCCTCCGCTCCAGAGCTTATGCTCGGAGGGGTGCTACTCGAGTGCTGAGGCCAACGAACGGGGAACTCACCCCAGCCTGGATCCAACTGAGGTCTCACCACTTTATCCATGAGGTATTTCCACAGTCGAAGCTCTCATCCCTCGGGTCCAGGGAGGAAAGGGCAGAGAAACGTGCCTCTCTAAGGCAGTAAAGATAGCACTGGTGGTCGTTGCTGACCAAGTAGCAGCAAGGACAAGAGAGAGTGCTTGAACCCTGGGCATAGTTCTCCTCCGAAGAGGGGAAATGGAGAGGGTCCCTGGTGCAGGGAAAAGCTGATCTACACTAACTATAAAGAGACTACCAAATACACTAGACTAAGAACTGGATGCAATTATATTTATAGATAAGAAAGAGTGCAAAGTTATCTTCAGACACAAGAGATTCCAACTCAGGCCACGTGATGGTAAGAAGGAATTGCAGAGGCAGTTGGTTCGTACCTCCCCTTATACCCTGGACGCAGGCGTGGACCAGGGCACAGGCATGGACCAACAGACACTACTTGAAAGGTTTTTGAGTCTCAAGCACTTGATGCACGTGCATGTCACATGTGGAATATACATAGGGACAAACATGGTTAATCCCCCTACAGTAAGGTGGAGGAAAAAAAAAAATCAGTATTTGAAATTTTATTTTTAAAAATAGGATTTTTTATTTAAATATGGGTTGATTTTTAAAAAACTAAATCATTTAAATTTGAAACTTTGACAACCTATGTTAAGGACTAACCTTAGTATAATCTATTAAAATCAGATACATTAAACAATAGTAAGCAGTACATGCTTGTCGCCAAGTTTCAAAGAAAGTCAAATCACTGAACTTGTGGAAGTCACTGGCTAAGTACCTGCACCCAGAGTTTGCTGAAGTGCTAAATCAGCTTTGATAGCAGTAGTCTTTTTTACAGGTACAGAGAAAATAATTTCTTAATTTCAGTTTATTAAACCAGTTCAGTTAAAAAACTAGTTCATTCAAAGTAAGAAAACATCTGAAAGCTGAAACAGCAGGAAAGCTTGTTATCCTCTCCCACTCTACAGAACAACAATTGGGTGTTCGAGGATGAAAGCTACTAGTTCTAAAATCTTGAAGGACATGGTGACCAGAAAAAATTAGATCAATTCACTAACAGATAATACTTTTGTTTAATAAATCAGTTAGTTTTAAATGCAAGACATGTTTTTATAACCATTTTTCCCTTATGCATACAGCTCATTTAAGGTCATTTTATTTAACTAATAAACAATCTGAAATGCTTGTGCATTTTAATTTGTTTGAATTTCCATCCAAATACAGCTTGACACAAATCACAAGTTAAAAAACTAATAATTTTACTAAATAAGAAATGCATCATTCACCACTTTCTAACATAAAAATGTAAAAATTAAT